CAGTATTAGAAGTGGGGCAGAAGTTTGTGGTTATAGGAGGGGGGGGGGCAGGAGGAAAGAGGGTGATTGGTGGAATGATGAAGTAAAAGGGGGTGATAAAAAAAGAAAAAAAGGGAGCTTATGAGAGGTTTTTACAAAGCAGAAGTGTTATAAGAAGAGCAGAGTATATGGAGAGTAAAAGAAAGGTAAAGAGAGTGGTGAGAGAGTGCAAAAGGAGGCAATGATAGAGTGGGAGAGGCACTGTCAAAAAATTTTAATGAAAATAAGAAAAAATTTTTTGGGGTGAGTTTAAACAAGTTAAGAAAGCCTAGGGAAAGTATGGATTTGTCAGTTAAAAACAGAGTAGGAAGTTAGTAGATGGGGAAAGGAGGTATTAGGTAGATGGCGAGAATATTTTGAGGAACTTTTAAATGTTAAGGAAAAAAGAGAGGGAGTAATTTCATGCACTGGTCAGGGAGGTATACCATCTTTTAGGAGTGAAGAAGAGCATAATGTAAGTGTGGGGGAGGTACGTGAGGCATTACGTAGAATGAAAGGGGGTAAAGCAGCTGGAACTGATGGGATCATGACAGAAATGTTAAAAGCAGGGGGGATATAGTGTTGGAGTGGTTGGTACTTTTTGTTTAAAAAAATGTATGAAAGAGGGGAAGGTACCTAGGATTGGCAAGAGCATGTATAGTCCCTTTATATAAAGGGGAAAAGGGGGGAAAAGAGACTAAAAATTATAGAGGAATAAGTTTACTGAGTATACCAGGAAAGTGTTTCGGTAGGGTTATAATTGAAAGAATTAGAGGTAAGACAGAATGTAGGATTGTGGATGAGCAAGGAGTTTTATGAGTGGGTAGGGGATGTGTAGATCAACAAGTGTTTACATTGAAGCATTATAGTGAACAGTATTTTTGATAAAGGTAGGGAAGTTTTTATTGCATTTTATGGATTTTAGAAAAGGCATATGATAGAGGAGCAATGTGGCAGATGTTGCAAGTATATGGAATAGGTGTTAAGTTATTAAATGCTGTAAAGAGTTTTTAGAGGATAGTGAGGCTCAGGTTAGGGTGTGTAGAAGAAGGGAGACTACTTCCTGGTAAAAGTAGGTCTTAGACAGGGATGTGTAATGTCCCCCATGGTTGTTTAATATATTTATAGATGGGGTTGTAAAGGAATAAATGATAGGGTGTTCGGGAGAGGGTGGGTTTAAAAATTTTGGGGAATCAAATTCAAAAGGGGAATTGACACAGTTACTTTTTGCTGATGATACTGTGCTTATGGGAGATTCTAAAGAAAAATTGCAAATGTTAGTGAATGAGTTGGGAATGTGTGTAAAGGTAGAAACTTGAAAGTGAACATAGAAAAGAGTAAGGTGATGAGGGTATCAAATGATTTAGTAAAGAAAAATTGGATATCAAATTGGGGGGAAAGGGAGTATGGAAGAAGTGAATGTTTTCAGATACTTGGGAGTTGCCCGTGTCGGCGGATGGATTTATGAAGGATGAGGTTAATCATAGAATTGATGAGGGAAAAAAGGGGGAGTGGTGCATTATGGTATATGTGGAGCCAAAAACGTTATTTATGGGGGGGGCAAGAAGGGGAATGTATGAAAGTATAGTAGTACCAACACTCTTATATGGATGTGAAGTTTGGGGTGGTAAATGCAGCAGCAGAGGAACGGTTGGAGGCAGTGGAGATGTCCTGTTTAAGGGCAATGTTTGGTGTAAATATTATGCTGAAAATTCGGAGTGTGGAAATTAGGAAAAGGTGCGGAGTTAATAAAAGTATTAGTCAGAGAGCAGAAGAGGGGTTGTTGAGGTGGTTTGGTCATTTAGAGAGAAGGATCAAAGTAGAATGACATGGAAAGCATATAAATCTATAGGGGAAGGAAGGCGGGGTAGGGGTCGTCCTCGAAAGGGTTGAGAGAGGGGGTAAAAGGAGGTTTTGTGGGCAAGGGGCTTGGACTTCCAGCAAGCATGCATGAGCGTGTTAGATAGGAGTGAATGGAGATGAATGGTACTTGGGACCTGACGATCTGTTGGAGTGTGAGCAGGGTAATATTTAGTGAAGGGATTCAGGGAAACCGGTTATTTTCATATAGTCGGACTTGAGTCCTGGAAATGGGAAGTACAATGCCTGCACTTTAAAGGAGGGGTTTGGGATATTGTCAGTTTGGAGGGATATGTTGTGTATCTTTATATGTGTATGCTTCTAAACTGTTGTATTCTGAGCACCTCTGCAAAAACAGTGATAATGTGTGAGTGTGGTGAAAGTGTTGAATGATGATGAAAGTATTTTCTTTTTGGGGATTTTCTTTCTTTTTTGGGTCACCCTGCCTCAGTGGGAGACGGCCGACTTGTTGAAAAAAAAAAAATATACATGTTATGCTTTAATAACGTATGTTATTCAATATGTATGTTATTAAATACCAAAGACTCCACCACTGCGAGTCCCTACTACCCTCCCTCCGACCCCCGCAACTGGCAGCCAGCCCTCTCACCACTCAGTGTGGTGAGTGTTTTGTTTGTTCATTATTTGCTATTAAACTACAAAATAAATAATGTAAACCCATTCATGACTACATATTGGAATGGCTATTAGGACAGGTATTAGACGGTGACATCATGTGTTTACTCTTGAACACTACAAAGAATTGAACATTTCTGCTATTGCTAATAATAACAATAGCATTAATAATAATAATAATAATAAATACGATATAATTGAAGAAGGAAATTGTACAAAAATACGAGGGAGTGGTTGACACATCGTCAGTGTGACTTTGTTTATGCTGGAGTGAACATTAGTCTCCCTGCTCTTCCAAACATTTCACAATAATTCAGCAGTTGAGGCAGTGGTATTTAATAACATATATGTTATAAATAACATATATGTTATTAAATTGATGAGGGAAAAAAGGTGAGTGGTGCGTTGAGGTATATGTGGAGTCAAAAAACGTTATCTATGGAGGCAAAAAAGGGAATGTATGAAAGTATAGTAGTACCAACACTCTTATATGGGTGTGAAGCTTGGGTGGTAAATGCAGCAGCGAGGAGACGGTTGGAGGCAGTGGAGATGTCCTGTCTAAGGGCAATGTGTGGTGTAAATATTATGCAGAAAATTCGGAGTGTGGAAATTAGGAGAAAGTGTGGAGTTAATAAAAGCATTAGTCAGAGGGCAGAAGAGGGGTTGTTGAGGTGGTTTGGTCATTTAGAGAGAATGGATCAAAGTAGAATGACATGGAAAGCATATAAATCTATAGGGAAGGAAGGAGGGGTAGGGTCGTCCTCGAAAGGGTTGGAAAGAGGGGATAAAGGAGGTTTTGTGGGCGAGGGGCTTGGATTTCCAGCAAGCGTGCATGAGCGTGTTAGATAGAGTGAATGGAGACGAATGATACTTGGGACCTGACGATCTGTTGAAGTGTGAGCAGGGTAATATTTAGTGAAGGGATTCAGGGAAACCAGTTATTTTCATTATAGTCGGACTTGAGTCCTGGAAATGGGAAGTACAATGCCTGCACTTTAAAGGAGGGATTTGGGATATTGGCAGTTTGGAGGGAATTTGTGTATCTTTATACGTATATGCTTCTAAACTGTTGTATTCTGAGCACCTCTGCAAAAGCAGTGATAATGTGTGAGTGTGGTGAAAGTGTTGAATGATGATGAATGTATTTTCTTTTTGGGGATTTTTCTTTCTTTTTTTGGGTCACCCTGCCTCGGTGGGAGACGGCCGACTTGTTGAAAAAAAAAAAATGTTATAAATAATAATAGTACATGTTATTATTAATAACATGTATTATTATTAACATGTATGTTATTAAATACCATTGCCTCAATCACTGCCTCTACCACTCCAGTCACACTCAATCTACGAGGCACCAAACACAATGAATTATTGTGAAATTTTTGGGGAAGAGCAGGAGACTAATGTTCACTCCAGCATAAACAAAGTCACACTGACGATGTGTCAACCACTCCCTCGTGTTTTTGTACAATTTCCTTCTTCAATTATATCATATTTATTATTATTATTATTATTATTATTATTATTACTATTGTTATTATTAGCTGTAGCAGAAATGTTTAATTCTTTGCAGTGTTCAAGAAATAACACTGATGTCACCGTCTAATACCTGTCCGAATAGCCTTCCAATATGCAGCCATGAATGGTTTACATTATTTATACTGTAGTTTAATAGCAAATAATGAACAAACAAAACACTCACCACACTGAGTGGTGGGAGGGCTGGCTGCCAGTTGCAGGGGTGGGAGGGAGGGTAGTAGGGACTTGCAGGGGCGGGAAACTTAAATATGATTTGGCGGCTGGGAATTTGGTGGCGGGGAAATTTTTGGCGGTTGGGAATTCGCGAATGTGTGAACCCCCGGAAAGTTGAAAACGTGGAATGTTGAGGGAGACCTGAAAATTATATTGAACATTATTTATTTATTAACCACATCGGGCCGTTTCCCGCTAAGGCAGAGGGGCCCCGAAAAGAAAAAATTTCTCCAACCTTTCCTCACCCAAAACCCTCCCCCGCCTTCCCTCCACTACAGATTTATACACCTCGAAGTCATTCTATTCGTTACATTCCCTCTACATGTCCAAACCATCTCAGTAACCCCTCTCAGCCCTTGGATAATAGTTTTGGTCATCCCGCACCTCCTCTTAATCTCCAAACTACAGATTTTCTGCATTGTATTCACACCACACATTGCCCTCTGACATGACATCACCTCCGCCTCCAGCCTTCTCCTTGTTGCAACATTCGCCACCCATACCTCTCACCTATACAAGAACTTTCATGGATAAAGTTCTTTGTATTGAACTTATACTTTTTTTTTTCAACAAGTCGGCTGTCTCCCACCTAGGCAGGGTGACCCAAAAAGAAAGAAAATCCCCAAAATGAAAATACTTTCATCAGTATTCAACACTTTCACCTCACTCACACATAATCACTGTAAAAATCTTTTTCTTTTTCATATAATATTAATGTAGACACCTTTCTATTTCAGGGACTCCATCCATTCAGTTTTCTGCAAATCTTGTAGATTTGAAAAAGAAATTTGATTTTAGCAGTGACATGACACCTAGAAAGGAAGAAGAAAGTGATGTTAAGAAAAGTAATGTTTGTAAATTGGGTTATACTTCTCAAGGTATTCAGTCCCCAGGTAGGTCTCCAGTCAGATTTCATTTACCATGCCGCTCTCCAAAAGAGGGAGATATCTCCAGTGATTTTGATGTCTCTCTGTCCAGTGATGGGCATGAGAGTGGAATTCACCCTTTGCCTGTATATCCATCAAGAGACAACAGTCTTGATGAAATCAAGGAGGAGCTCTCTGGTGATCTGCAGTCTTCAGATACATCAAATATCAGTACCAGTTCACCAAAGAAATGTCATACAAGCTGTAACAGCATTAACACTATACCAGTGCCTCATTCACCAATAGCAACCTCAACACACTTAATTAACTCCAAGAGAGAGACTGATATGATCCATGATACAATGCTAGTTTCTGACAAAAATAATAAGGAAGTTTGCAAGTCATTGGCTAGTTATGAAGGGAGATCTGCAGAATCAAAATTGTGCTGTTCTATAGATGATAGTGAAAATATGCTGGGGTCTGTTATTAGAAAACAGATTCATACATCCAGTGAATACAGTGATGTGTTCCTAGATGACATAGCTCCTAATGAATCTTGCACCTCAGATATCTTCAAACCTTTTGTCCCAAAGGATCCTGTCTCAGCCACAGAGCTGGAAAATGCTGACTTGACTGTTACCAATAAGTGCCATACAAGATTACGAGCCTTATCTCAGCTTACACATCACATGTCACCTGTAGGATGCCCCACTTCTGATTTGCCTTCTATATCTAGGGTTGTATTCTCCAGAGATATAGCCACAAGTTCACCAATTACCCCACATGTTGGGAAAAGTGAAGGTGCAGACTTGTCTTTTTCAACTATTGAAGGATGTTCAGCATTGCTTGATTGCAAGCTATCAAATAATGAACCTCAGAGGTCCTCAGAAAGCAGTTCTCATTCATCAAGTAAGACTGCAACTGTCTCAGGTCAGGTATCAAATTTTCCTATATCGGTGCAAGCAGATAATGTTTCCCTTGAACAGAGGGAAAGCACTAGATTAGAAGAATGCATTAACATAAGTGAAAGAAATTATTCCACCATCAGTACCTATCAGGAGTGTGAAAATTTCAAAATACCATCACAAACAAGAGGTATTAAACGCTCTATAGGCTCTAGTAATGCAAGCCCACCCACAAATATTGCAAGAGACAGTCAGTCTTCTGGCCTTACAAGAAGTTTCAGAGTTCTGCAGGTTGCTGGTCAAAACCCTAAAAAGCGAGACACTAGGAGGAGTCCATGTCCCTTGGCAGAATTGAGGTGTATTCAAGACACCAATTATATGCATGGTGCTCCTGCTGTTGATAGGGAAAGCAGGTATGTTGATTTGGGATATTTTTAATAAGGACGAATTAACTGTATGGAGAGTATGTGTTAACTGTTTCTATTAACATTTTTGTTGATTCTAGCACTTATTTCATAATAACTTCTTTGTTTTTTGATGGTGGAATGGTCTCTCCCCTGTTCCTTTGTATTTCCTAATAAAGCAAATTATTCTGAAGATTGTGCTTTTTACCTCAGCAAGCCAGCCTTGCAGGGGTAGAAAACTCCTTGAAACCAGTCACAGGTTTATCAGTAAACTCTCTCATAATGCAGGGTGCAGGCCTGAAAACTGGCACCTTGTGGAAATTAGCATTTTATGAAGTTAAGAACGTGGGAAAAATATGGTAATGTTCCAGCCACCTCCAAATTTTCCTGCCAAAATTTCTTTAGTTTTGCTAGATAAATATTACTACATTATTGCTTACCTCGCATTATTTTAGCTGTTACTTGAAGCATTTGAAGAGTGTGGGAAGGGTTAACATGTGCTTAACCCTTTGACAGTTTCGGTCGTATATATACGTCTGACGAGCCACTGTTTCGGACATATATATACTCAGTAATTCTAACAGCTTCAAATCAAGCAGGAGAAAGATGGTAGGCCCACCTGTGAGAGAATGGGTCTGTGTGGTCAGTGTGCAGTGTATAAAAAAAACCCTGCAGCATGCAGTGCATAATGAAGAAAAAAACTCCGACCATGTTTTTGGATTCAAATGCCGACTTTGAGGAGTATTTTCGTATAGTATTTATGGTTGTATTCTCGTTTTCTTGGTCTCATTTGATAGAATGCAAAATATATTACAGAAATAGAGATGATTTTGATTAGTTTCACGGTGAAAACGACCTTGAAATTGAGCTCAAAGTAGCAGAAATGTCCGATTTTTACTAATGTTCAAAAGTAAGCAGATCACACCACATGTCCAATATACGTCAACTGGGGAGTCTAATATTCTTTCACTAGTGCACTGATTTTATTTATGCCATTTTTACAATAATGCAGTAGTCTGCATAACAGTAAATCTTCTATTTTGTGTGTGAATAAAAAATCAAAATAGAAAGCAAGAGTAATATAAGAGGGGCCTAGAGACATGACTAATAAGCAGCGGATATGTTATTTTAGTGCCAAGAATGTCTGCATTGTTTATTCTGGACCCTGTTTTGAAATTGGCATCTTTTTTAATTTGTGTGAAATTAGCCAAATTGATAATTTCTGACCACTTTATTGGGTAGTTGAAATCAGTAAATGGGTGGTTTCTTTTACTCAATTGATAGGAAAAATGCAATTCTAAAGAAATAGCTATGAGTTTGGTCGACTGGAACAATGGAATTGGCCGAAAATAGGGTTCAAAGTCGGCAAAATCGCCAATGCGTATATATTGCTGAGATCACTAACATCGTGGGAGCATAATTCCATAAGTTTTCGATTAGATTTCGTACTTTTGGTGTCATTACCATTGGGAAAAGATTCTCTATCTTTTTTTTTTTTTTTTTTTTTTTTTTTTTTTTTTAAACATAGAATGAGTTTCAGAAAGGGGCTTGTGACAATCAAAGGGTTAATGAGCTAAGTTGTATGTAGTAAGGTTTATCAGCTGACACTTATTACATGTCAATATAATGAAAGCCATATTTCGTTGTCATATTTTACCACACCTAAACCAAACAAACATATACTAAAGAAGAATGCATTTGAAACAGTATTATGCAAGTGAAAGAAATATTTTTTTTTTTTTAACAAGTTGGCCATCTTCCACCAAAGCAGGGTGACCCAAAAAGAAAGAAAATCCCCGAAAAGAAATATTGTGATACCTTAAATAAAATGTTGTTCAAAGGCTGTGTCTGGGATATGTGAAAAGAGCTGCTGTCTCTGGCTTTACCTCCCAGCAATATTGTGAGATCACAGGGCTACTGGGTATTTAAACAGAGTGATATAAACAGTTCTAAATATGTATTATGGAGGTTACAAATTCTGGATACTGTGATACCTTAAATAAAATGTTCAAGACTGTGTCTGGAAGATGTGAAAAGAGTTGCTGTCTCTGGTTTTACCTCCCAGCAGTAGATCACAGGGCTACTGGGTGTTTAAAAGGAGTGATATAGACAGTTCTAAATATGTAGTATGAAGGCTACAAATTGTGGAGAGGCAAACTAGAAACATGAGAGGTTAAGGATCTCTGAGTATAGTTTTAATGATGACCATACTGTACTGTATTGTTGCAGTTTTTGAACTGTAGTATTGGCATGCCTCTGGCAAAACAGTGATGGAATGAGTGATGAAAATGTTTCTTCTTTTTATGGGTCACCCTGCCTTGGTGGGAAATGTTCAATGTGTAAAAAAAAGAAAATAGGTGTGCAACCCATAGAAAAGTGCATAGGTACAACAATATTAGGTTAGTGTGGACATGAACATACTGAACATTTGAGTAATGAGAGTTAGTAAAGAGAGCATAGCTAAAAGTAAGGAGATTTAAAGGACAGAGTTGATTGATTTAATTTATGAGACATTGTACAGTATTCATGAGAAAGGTTAAAAGAGTTCTTGGTGAATATAGGTAGTGTATAAAAGTGAATGAAGGATTAAAGATGTAACACTCATTATGATTGCCTGTTTGTTTCCAGAGAAAATAAAAGACAATGTGTATATGCAAATGATGCCAGAAGTGCTGTGGATGGGATTGGAGAAGCTTTTCACCACTTCAAGGACATTCAGGTTAATGATACGGCAAATAAAGTAAGAGAATAATGTTTCCTTCCCTATTTATTTACAACCTTAGCATTATACTAATAGTCAGGAGTCATCCAAATAAACAAAATAGACCTGAAATACAGTAGAACCTCGGTACTCGAACAGCTCCGTATTTGAACAATTCAGTATTCGAATGCTTTGTTTGGTAAACAAATTGCTCGGCACTCAATAAAACAAGCACAACCTGCCAGAACTTTGCTGTAAACTATTTTGTGTTTCTTCATATTTTTTGGTGTTTTTTATATTATTTGTATAAATAAGTCCCCATGGGGCCTACGAAGATTAGTGATAACAGCCAACCAAAAAAAAATGGGTGTGAAAAATTTGTTCTGTATTCGAACAGATCAGCACTCGAACAGCCTTCTGGAACCAATTAAGTTCAAGTTCAGAGGTTCCACTGTATTCCAAAACTAATTCCCATTACTTCATCATGTTTTCCATCAGTACAGCATAAAATGTTGCCTTATAAACTTTCTTTGTAACTTAAAAAGTATGATCCGAATTCCCCCTACTCTCTCAACATTTATTTATTCCGTATAACGAGATACTTTTTACTCATGAATAGGTCAACCCCCTTTCTGTTTATGTTTAAAAATATTGTCTTAAAACCTTGATCTATACACACATAACTAGTTAATGGTTCAAGTTGGACCAAAATGTTGTCATAAGTTTCATTCTCTTATGTGTGAATTATGTGTGTATTGTTCTGGACACCATATTGTGCCTTTTCATTCTCGATCTATACTCCAGTATATATGTATACAGGAGGCTACCAATATTGTTTTTTTTTTTTTTTTTTTTTTTTTTTTTTTAACACTCAAAATTGCTGGACATTTGGCATTATTGGTTACCATTTTTCCCTATTAACCCACTAAATTGAGGTTTTATTGTAAATATTCAGCTTACATTTTGCAGTGTTTGGAATTTTTAGATTTACTCTCTTCATAATGAAAGGCTCTTCATTTAAAGAATTGTAGCTATGGCCTATTCCTGGTAGCAAACCTGGTTGTCTCCTGTTCCCCAGGAACATAAATAATTACCATTACTACAAATTGACGATTGACCTAGACAGTATTTTGATTTATCCTGGATCATTACAAAATTGTGACTTAATAATGGTCTAAAGTGAACCAAAACATATCCCATTGATATACCTTTGATGAGTTCCAAGAGTTTTTTTTACTCCCAAAGTCCAGCCTTTGGCCAGGCTGGTGCCTGCCTGGTTAACCAGGCTGTTATTGCTGGTGGCCCACTGACCCATATATCTATCACAGCCTGGTTGATCTAGCTTTTATCATCTGGTTTCATCTACAGTTGTGAATATTTCTACTCATTTTGATGTGCTTTTTAAATACAGTAATCAAATTTGATGCTGCAGCCAGTCAGATGGTACAGTGAAAGTGACTTGAGCAGTGATGTTTCGGAGAGGGAGATTGGTTGTAAGGATTACCCTGGCACTCCTGTTAGTGTGTCATCACACAGCCAACATTCACAGCGATTCTTTAGTTACCATACCCCAGCTAGAATACCTGTGAGTTTAAGTATTTGTAAGTCAGTTGTGCAAACAGCTAACCTGCTGTGTATATTGTTTGCAGTGGTACTTGCTAATTACTCCTCTGATTATTTAATCGTATAATTTTATAGATATAATACAAGTGATGATCTTAATGTTTCTAAATATTACTTTTTATTTTTGACATTTTTTCTATGAAATAAAAGTCTGTTTACCATTAGGCATCTTCCATTAATTAGTAAATTTTGGTTACAACCATAATATACATGGATTTCTTTTTAGTATTGAAAAAAATACTGAGTGCATTCCAGGGCTTCTCTTGGCCCTATGTTTGTTGTCCTTTGTTTACAACTCATTAATAAATATAAGTTTGTATATGCTATGGGTTACTCAAAAATAAAGATGAATGGTATAGACCATTTTTACAACAAGTTCTGTTTGTCTTGTTGGTGGCTAGCTTTCTCAGCACCCATGCAGTTTTTATAGCAGCCAAGAGCCCCTGATTTATATATTTGTTCAAGCTGGGAATTTTTATAATAAAAATTATTATATTTACAGAGTGTGCCTAGCACACCACTGCAAGAGTTTGACCAGACACCGCTACGAGCCCCAAAAAGTGTCAGGAGAGGAGCACAACCATCTCGCTCTGAATCTCGCATCCTGGGTACTCCAGATTATTTAGCACCAGAGCTTCTGTTACATCTCGGCCATGGTTGGTTCATCAGTCATTAAATGTGTAACAAGTATTTTTTTTGTTGTTGCAAATTTACAGACATTTACAAATTCATTAAAATAGTGTCAGATGAAATAAATAAATATCAGCTTCTGTTAAAATCTATCTCTACAGACATTCTTGAAGTATTGTAGATTGAAGATATCAGGAAAAATATTGAAGGGTAGTTTGATCCTTGATATTCTCATATAATGTAAAATTTAGATAGTACATTAATGTTCACACAATAAAAGAAATAGTGGTAGTAGAGAAAAAGTACAGCTTCATAGTGAAAGATTGGTAACTCGAAATTAGAAATAAGGTCAGGGAATTGACATAGCAGGTATCTTTCCTTCAGTGATTAGAATACACTGAGAGTAAACACTTGTATTGTGTTTCATCACAAAGTGACTTTTACCTGTGTAGTAATAAAAGACCATTATTATTGTGCATGACTAGTATACAATACTGACCAGATAAATTAGACACATGTACAACATCTGGGTATCTTTATTTGTAGACTTTTGCCATCCAATGGCTTTATCAGTACAATACAAGAACATATACAGAAGATTAGGTAATCAGTCTCTCAGCCTTGGAGTTGGTGAAGAAGGACTGATTGCCTCATCTTCTGTATATAGCTCTAGTCTTCACATTATGTCCTTGTATTGATAAAGCCACTGGATGGGGAAACATATACAAATACAGATACCCAGATATTGCACATGTGTCAGATTCTTCACCAGATGGAGGATAGAGCTTCCAACACTTCCACTGACTTACACACAGATTTAGTGCATCACATATAGGTAATCATCACTTCCTATTCTCATTGACCAACCAATCTGTTATGAACATTTAATTTTTAATAATAACACCTTGAAATTATGATGCCCTATTTTCTTTGGGTATTAATAATTATATTCCTAAGGGCAATGTGTGGTGTAAATATTATGCAGAGAATTTGTAGTGTGGAAATTAGGAGGAGGCGAGGAGTTAGTAAAAGTATTAGTCAGAGAGCTGAAGAGGGGGGTGGGGGGCTGTTGAGATGGTTTGGTCATTTAGAAAGAATAGAACAAAGTAGAATGACTGGGAAAGTATATAAATTTGTAGGGGAAGGAAGGCAGGGTAGGGGTTGGCCCTGAAAAGGTTGGAGGGAAGGGGTGAGGGAGGTTTTGTGGGGAGGGGCTTGGACTTCCAGCAAGTGTGTGTGAGCGTGTTAGATAAGAATGAATGGAAACAAATGGTTTTTGGGACCTGACGAGTTGTTGGAGTGTGAGCAGGGTAATATTTTGTGAAACGACTCAGGGAAACCTGTTAGCCGGCATTGAGTCCTGGAAATGGGAAGTACAATGCCTGCACTTTAACCCTTTGACTCTCGCAACCCCCAATCCTGAGGTGTCTCCTGGTGTCGCAAAATTTAAAAAAAAAAAGAATTATTTTTTCTTATGAAATGATAGAGAATCTTTTCCCGATTGTAATGACACCAAAAAAACGAAATTTGATGGAAAACTGACGGAATTACGCTCTCGCGAAGTTAGCGACCTCGGCGCTGTTTACAAATCGGCGATTTCGCCCACTTTGAGCCCTATTTTCGGCTAATTCCATTGTTCCAGTCGACCAAACTCATAGCTATTTCTTTAGAACTCCATTTTTTCTATCGATGGAGTACAAGAAACTGCCCATTTACCGATTTCAACTACCTAATAATATGGACAGAAATTTGCAATTTGGCCAATTTCACGAAAACTAAAAAATATGACAATTTCAAAATAAGGTCCAGAATGAACAATGCAGACTTTCCTGGCTCTAAAATAACATTTTCTTTGTTCATCAGTCATGTCTCCAGGCCCCTCTAATATTATTCTTGCTTTCTATTTTGAATTTTTATTCAAACAAAAAATTGAAGACTTACTATTATGCAGACTACTGCAATACTGTAATAACTGTATAAATAACATCAACCCATTCATGACTGCATATTAGAATGGCTAGTTGGACATTTATTGGACAATAGCATCATTTGTTTACTTTTGAACATTGGCAAAAATCAAACATTTCCCCTACTTTGAGCTCCATTTCTAGGTTCTTTTTATAGTAAAATCAATCAAAATCACCTCTATTTCTATAATATGTTTTCCATTCTATCAAATGAGACCAAGAAAACGAGAATACAACTATAAATACTATATGAAAATAGACCACAAAGTCGGCATTTTAATTAAAAAAAACGGTCGGAGTTTTTTTTTTCCCCATTATGCACTGCATGCTCCAGGATTTTTTTTATATGGTGCACACTGACCACACAGACCCATTCTCTCACATGTGGGCCTACCAGCTTTCTCCTGCTTGATTTGAAGCCGCTAGAATTTATGAGTATATATACGTCAAACACGGTACCTCGTAAGACGTATATATACGGCCGCGACAGTCAGAGGGTTAAAGGAGGGGTTGGGGATATTGGCAGTTTGGAGGGACATCTGAACTGTCGCATCTCGGTACCTCTTCAAAGACAGTGCTTATGTATGAGTGATGGTGAAAGTGTTGAATGATAATGAAAGTTTTTCTTTCTTTTTGGGTCACCCTGCCTTAGTGGGAAACAACCGACATGTTAAAAAAAAAATAGGAAGATGGTCCATGGGGAAGTGGAACAGAATTCTTCCTCTGTAAGCTATGCCGGGAACAAGAGGCTAGTAACCCCTTCTCTTGTATACATTACTAAATTTAAAAAGAGACGCTTTTGTTTTTCTTTTTGGGTCACCCTGCTTTGGAGGGATACAGCCTGTTTGATGAAAAAAACAAAAATAGGAAGATGTTTGGAGTGGCATCTAAACTGTCACATTTGGGTATCTGCACCCAGATGGTGAAAGTGTTGAATGATGGTGAAAGTTTTTCTTTTTTGGGTCACCCTGCCTCGGTGGGAGATGGCCAATGGGAAGATAGTGATTATTGCCTAATAGCATCAGATAAGTAATAAGAAATAGCTTTTTTTTTTTTCAACAAGTCGGCCGTCTCCCACCGAGGCAGGGTGACTCAAAAAAGAAAGAAAATCCCAAAAAAGAAAATACTTTCATCATCATTCAACACTTTTACCACACTCACACATTATCACTGTTTTTGCAGAGGTGCTCAGAATACAACAGTTTAGAAGCATACACATATAAAGATACACAACATATCCCTCCAAACTGCCAATATCCCAACCCCCTCCTTTAAAGTGCAGGCATTGTACTTCCCATTTCCAGGACTCAAGTCCGACTATATGAAAATAACCGGTTTCCCTGAATCCCTTCACTAAATATTACCCTGCTCACACTCCAACAGATCGTCAGGTCCCAAGTACCATTCGTCTCCATTCACTCCTATCTAACACTCTCACGCATGCTTGCTGGAAGTCCAAGCCCCTTGCCCACAAAACCTCCTTTACCCCCTCTCTCCAACCCTTTCGAGGACGACCCCTACCCCGCCTTCCTTCCCCTATAGATTTATATGCTTTCCATGTCATTCTACTTTGATCCATTCTCTCCAAATGACCAAACCACCTCAACAACCCCTCTTCTGCTCTCTGCTAAACTTTTAACTCAACTTTTAATTAACTCCAATTCTCATAATGTTACACACACTTCCTTAAACAGCATCATTCCAACCTTCCTCGCACATTACCACCAACTTCACCCAAAGTGTGGAACTTCTTCATACTTCCCTTGCCCATAATAACGTTTTACCATAACCTCAACACCACTCCCTTTTCCGTCATCCTTGATTACTACTATAAATCATCCGCCAACAGCACTCCCAAACTGAACATCACTCTCATACTCTTCTCTTTCTTTCAACACCCGCTATCCCACCGAGTATTTCTCTTTACTTTGCAAAAAGGTACACCTTGCTCCCGGCATATTCCTCTTACCACAAGCTTCACCATCCCATATAAGAGTGATTGGTAATAAAAAACCTTTCATACATTCCCTTCTTATGCTCATAGATAAGTTTTTTGACTCCAAATTTACTCAAACGAAACAGGCACCTATTTCCTCCATCAATTCAGATTAACCTCATCGTTCATTAATCCATCACGCCAAACGTCATACTCCCAGTATGCTGTTAACAACTCACTTTCTTCCATACTCCTCCTCCCCAATTTGATATCCAATTTTTCTTTATCTAAATCATTTGATAACCTCATCACACCTTACTCTTTTCTATGTTCACTTTCAACTTTCTACCTTTACACACATTCCCAAACTCATCCACTAACCTTTGCAATTTTTCTTTAGACTCTCCCATAAGTACAGTATCATCAGCAAAAAGTAACTGTGTCAATTCCCATTTTGAATTTGATTCCCCAAAATTTAATCCCACCCCTCTCCCAAACACCCTAGCATTTACTTCCTTTACAACCCCATCTATAAATATATTAAACAACCATGGTAACATTACACATCCCTGTCTAAGACCTACTTTTACCGGGAAGTAGTCTCCCTCTCTTCTACACACCCTAACCTGAGCCTCACTATCCTCATAAAAACTCTTTACAGCATTTAATAACTTACCACCTATTCCATATACTTGCAACATCTGCCACATTGCTCCTCTATCCACTCTATCATAAGCCTTTTCTAAATCCATAAATGCAATAAAAACTTCCCTACCTTTATCTATATACTGTTCACATATATGCTTCAATGTAAACACTTGATCTACACATCCCCTACCCACTCTGAAACCTCCTTGCTCATCCACAATCCTACATTTTGTCTTACCTCTAATTCTTTCAATTATAACCCTACCGTACACTTTTCCTGGTTTACTCAGCAAACTTCTTCCTCTATAATTTTTAGAGTCTCTTTTGTCCCCTTTCCCTTTATATAAAGGGACTATACATGCTCTCCGCCAATCCCTAGGTACCTTCCCCTCTTTCATACATTTATTAAACAAAAGTACCAACCACTCCAACACTATATCCCCTCCTGCTTTTAACATTTCTGTCATGATCCCATCAGTTCCAGCTGCTTTACCCCCTTTCATTTTACGTAATGCCTCACGTACCTCCCCCACACTTACATTCTGCTCTTCTTCACTCCTAAAAGATGGTATACCTCCCTGACCAGTGCATGAAATTACTCCCTCTCTTTCTTCCTTAACATTTAAAAGTTCCTCAAAATATTCTCGCCATCTACCTAATACCTCCATCTCCCCATCTACTAACTCCCCTACTCTGTTTTTAACTGACAAATCCATACTTTCCCTAGGCTTTCTTAACTTGTTTAGCTCACTCCAAAATTTTTTCTTATTTTCATTAAAATTTCTTGACAGTGCCTCTCCCACTCTATCATCTGCTCTCCTTTTGCACTCTCTCACCACTCTCTTTACCTTTCTTTTACTCTCCATATACTCTGCTCTTCTTATAACACTTCTGCTTTGTAAAAAACTCTCATAAGCTACCTTTTTCTCTTTTATCACACCCTTTACTTCATCATTCCACCAATCACTCCTCTTTCCTCCTGCCCCCACCCTCCTATAACCACAAACTTCTGCCCCACATTCTAATACTGCATTTTTAAAACTATTCCAACCCTCTTCAACCCCCCCACTACTCATCTTTGCACTAGCCCACCTTTCTGCCAATAGTCGCTTATATCTCACCCGAACTTCCTCCTCCCTTAGTTTATACACTTTCACCTCCCTCTTACTTGTTGTTGCCACCTTCCTCTTTTCCCATCTACCTCTTACTCTAACTGTAGCTACAACTAAATAATGATCCGATATATCAGTTGCCCCTCTATAAACATGTACATCCTGGAGCCTACCCATCAACCTTTTATCCACCAATACATAATCTAATAAACTACTTTCATTACTTGCTACATCATACCTTGTATATTTATTTATCCTCTTTTTCATAAAATATGTATTACTTATTACCAAATCTCTTTCTACACATAGCTCAATTAAAGGCTCCCCATTTACATTTACCCCTGGCACCCCAAATTTACCTACTACTCCCTCCATAACATTTTTACCCACTTTAGCATTGAAATCCCCAACCACCATTACTCTCACACTTGATTCAAAACTCTCCATGCATTCACTCAACATTTCCCAAAATCTCTCTCTCTCCTCTACGCTTCTCTCTTCTCCAGGTGCATACACGCTTATTATAACCCACTTTTCACATCCAATCTTTATTTTACTCCACATAATCCTTGAATTAATACATTTGTAGTCCCTCTTTTCCTGCCATAGCTTATCCTTCAACATTATTGCTACTCCTTCTTTAGCTCTAACTCTATTTGAAACCCCTGACCTAATCCCATTTATTCCTCTCCATTGAAACTCTCCCACCCCCTTCAGCTTTGTTTCACTTAAAGCCAGGACATCCAGCTTCTTCTCATTCATAACATCCACAATCATCTCTTTCTTATCATTTGCACAACATCCACACACATTCAGACTTCCCACTTTGACAATTTTCTTCTTCTTATTCTTTTTAGTAATCTTTACAGGAAAAGGGGTTACTAGCCCATTGTTCCCGGCATTTTAGTTGACTTTTACAACACGCATGGCTTACGGAGGAAAGATTCTTATTCCACTTCCCCATGGATATAAAAGGAAAAGTAATAAGACCAAGAACTATTAAGATAAAATCAAAGAAAACTCAGATGAGTGTGTATAAATAAATGTGTACATGTATGTGTAGTGTGACCTAAGTGTAAGTAGAAGTAGCAAGACATACCTGTAATCTTGCATATTTATGAGACAGACAAAAAACATCAGCAATCCTACCATCATGTAAAACAATTACAGGCTTTCATTTTACACTCACTTGGCAGGACGGTAGTACCTCCCTGGGTGGTTGCTGTCTACCAGCCTACTACCTTTAAGAAATAGCTTACTGGGCTATAAATTTTCTAATCTTTGGAAATACATTTTTGTGCATTTTCTCTCATGTTAATTTCTTTAATATTTTTTGTACATCAGTTGTTTAACTTATTATCTTTTCTTTGTTTCTTATTTTTTGCTCACTTTCAGGGTCAGCGGTAGACTGGTGGGCTCTGGGAGTATGTCTTTTTGAGTTTATGACTGGTGTTCCACCTTTTAATGATGAAACTCCTGAGGCTGTGTTTCATAACATTCTTCACCGAGGTAACATCACTTTCAGATATTGTTTAGTATATTAATTCTTTTACTGAATTTATTAATTAAACAAATAGTGCAGTAGTGCAAATGACATTTACAAGATTAATTTATGTACATTTAGATATTGTTTCTGTATGCCACTCTGGTGTTAAAAACGAATTTCTCTTTTTAACACACTGGCCGTCTCCCACCAATGCAGGGTGACCCGATAAAGAAACACTTTCACCATCATTTATGGTATTACTGTCTTGGCAGAGGTGCGCAGATACGATAGTTTATATGTCCCTTTAAACAGCAAATATCTCAAACCCTCCTTTTGAGTGCAGGCATTGTATTTCCCACCTCCAGGACTCATGTCCAGCTAATCAGCTTACCAGAATCCCTTCAGAAAATATTATCTCTAAATATAAAGTGGATTTAAGTCTTACAAAACTTTTTTTTTTTGTAAATGTAATTGGAGTTTCTTCTAAACTAATAATGTTTTTTGTTCCTTAAGGTTTCTGCTGATTGTCATCATTTTTGCATTTTGAACATTTTTTTAAACATTTTAAAAATGCTCTATATTTGATAACTCTTCATAGTACAGTGTTCCCTATGATACATGTTTGTGGGAATACATTATTGAAGTATTAGCAGTTTGGAGGGATATGTTGTGTATCTTTATATGTGTATGTTTCTAAACTGTTGTATTCTGAGCACCTCTGCAAAAACAGTGATAATGTGTGAGTGTGGTGAAAGTGTTGAATGATGATGAAAGTATTTTCTTTTTGGGGATTTTCTTACTTTTTTGGGTCACCCTGCCTCGGTGGGAGACGGCCGACTTGTTGAAAAAAAAAAACTTCTGTTCTTACAAAATAAAAGATTTTATTTACAAAGTTTCATTATTTCCTGTAACTTTAATATTCCTGGTGTATCATTCTAGATATTCCCTGGCCAGAGGGTGATGAGGCATTATCTGAAGCTGCTATCAAGATAATAGACAAGCTCTTGGCCTTTGATCCAAAAGTACGGGCAGACTTTGAATTGATCAAATCAAGCTCCTTATTTCATTGCATCAATTTACCCAACTTGAGGGATATGCCAGCCCCATTTGTCCCTCAACCAGATGATGCCATGGATACCACCTATTTTGAAGGCAAGTTTATCATAGTTGATAAGGCATTTGCTTCTTATTGCATTGAATATTTTGTCTTTCATGTGCTGGCTTTTTATTTTTGCTATTGGCTAAAGTTAATGGGTAGGTCTTTGCAGATACAGTACTGTACATGTTTTTAGAAGAGTACTGAAGTCTTTATTTTTCCTTATTGGTAGCTGGAGTATAAATAGTGGAAGGTAGAATATGAGAAGAATGTCAGTAGATGATAAAGTAAAACTCTGTGGGGAAGTGGAAAATAATTCTTCCTGTGTAAGCCATGTATGTCGTTAGAGGTGACTGAAACTCTGGAGCAAGAGGCTAGTAGCCCTTTCTGTTTAAATTACTAACTTTGGGTCACCCTGCCTCGGTGGGAAAGGACCGGTATCTTGGAAAAAAAAAATAAGTCAAAGTAAATTAATAATAGACAAAGATTATTAGCAAGACGTAAGAAGCAGTTGTTGGGGGAAGACTGACTGTTGCGATGGAAAGTAATTGAGGTAATATCATAAAGGTGTTGTATGGATTTTAGAATACAGCATCAGAGTCCATAGCAGAAGTTTGCTGTGATTATAGGCAAATAGGTGGTAGAGGAAAGAGATATTGTTGGTAGAATGGTGAGACAAGAGTTCTCTATTTTTATGTTTCTAGAATGTTTATCATGAGTGAAAGGTTGGCATATGATATGATTTTACAATGTCAAACTGATATATAGAAAAGAAACAATATATTTAAGTTAGTGGTGAAGAAGTGCAGAAACAAAAATGAAAAAGTGAGTTTTTGTCAGTAAATAGTTTTGGAGAGAGATAAATAAGGTTAGAAAACTGAGAAAGCAAATGGGTTTGTTAAGAGTGAAAGTAGCTAGATGCTGGATGAGAAGCCATGAATGATAGAGATTTGAAGCATAATTTAAATTTTTTATTCATTGTGGATGGTGAAGTGTAGGCAGAATTTTCATGCTAATGACAAAGAAGCTTTATCAATCCAATTTTTGGATGGGTAAAGCTTCACGTTGGCAAAACATTTTTTAATAAGATGTTCTAGTGTTACACTTTTTTTTCTCTCTCTTTCAATAAACTGGCCATATCCCACCAAGGCTGGGTGACCTAAAAAGAAAAACAAAAGTTTTTCTTTTTAAATTTAGTAATTTATACAGGAGAAGAGGTTACTATCCCCTCGCTCCCAGCATTTTAGTCACCTCTTACGACTTGCATGGCTTATGGAAGAAGAATTCTTTTCTGCTTCCCTATGGAGATAAGCAGAAATAAGGAAGAAGAAGCATTATTAAGAAAATAGAAGAAAATCTAGATGGGTGTGTATATAAATGTGTGTGCATGCATGTGTAGTGTGACCTAAGTGTAAGTAGATGTAGCAAAATATATCCTTTATCCTGTGTGTTTATGAGACAGAAAAAAGACACCAGCAATCCTACCATAATGTAAAACAATTACAGGTTTCCACTTCACACTTGCTTGGCAGAACAGTAGTACCTCTCTCTGTGGTTGCTGTCTACCAACCTACTACAAAGGACCTGCTAATTATCATGGTTATAAAAAAATAGCCTCATATACAGTAATTTATTAATAGATAAAAAAATATCTTTTTTTTATATATAATAATATCTTGTATAAAACTTTCAGCTCGTAACAATATCCAGCACCTCACCGTGTCCAACTTCGATTTGTGAAGTAAACTGTTCTCTGAGTAAAATCCATCCTTAACTGTGATCAGCATAAGCGGCACATCAATTTGTGAAGCAAGGTGTTCTCCGGTGAAAAATTCATCCACAAATGTGATCAGCATCGGCAGCACATCAGTTTGTGAAGCAAGGCGTTCTCCGCGCAAAATCCATCTGTAATTGTGATCAGCATCAGCAGCACATCACAGGAAGAGCATTGAAAGTTGTTAACAATGTCATGAGGATAATCCCTCACAGTTTTTTTTTTGTTCCACATTTTATCACTATGAAAAGCTTTTACATTATGTTTGATAGCTAAAAATACAGTAAGTTTCCTTTGTTTTAATGTATCTTATTCCACATTTGTAATAATAAGAGGAAGTAATTCTCCCTTGTTTTAAATTTTTGGTATCGTGCATTGGTTATGTATACTTTTCCATAACTGTATGTTTTATTAAGAATATAGAATATAATAACTATCTAATATATAGTACCAAATCAAAACTTTAATATATGCACCTGTATCAAATATTTGAGAAAAAATTGTGTCCTTTTAAATGTTTTGACCCAACTCTAAACATAATAAATTTAAAAAATTCTGTGTGTTTCAAATCAACCATTAAAGATCATCTAAGATATATTGATCATTTGCCTACTTTGGTTTAAGTATTTACCCAGGCAATAGTGGGTTTATTCACTATTAAGTCCATTGATTATTGCGGTATTATTAGTATTTGCATATACATATATATTTTTTAACACTGGCCTTCCTCACTCTTTAAATGTTGCCATCTGCTTTTGATGGTGATTGATGACCAGAGCGTTCATCATCCTCAACTGATGCTCATCCTACTTTGAATCGAGAAAACCTACAATCTCTCTCATTCCCTTCATCTCCCAGCTGAATGTGTCTTCCAGGTAAAAAGTGAGCCACTACTGGTAATTTCTTTTAATTATACTGTCTTTCCCTTCTAATTGCAATACTTATCAATAACAGTTGTAGATATCATTCATAATGTAACAGCTGCCAATGAAACACAAAAACCAAATAGGTTACAAAAAAAATGCTCCACATTGTGATTGTTGTTAGCAGCCTCGACTCAAATGTTCAATGACTTCAGTCACAACATAGCTGTGGACTCCAACAATTTGACTCACTAATAGTTTGTTGAGAAGTTTGGCTGTTTTTTATGAAAATAATAACAACAAAATGCTCTTCTACACATCTGAATTTTTTTTTTCCAATGAACTGGTTATATTCCACCGAGGCAGGGTGACCTAAAAAGAAAAACAAAAATTTTTCTTTTTAAATTGGGTAATTTATAAAAGAGAAGGGGTTACCAGACCCTTGCTCTCAACATTTAAGTCACCTTTTACAACACTCATAGCTTACGGAGGAAGAGTTCTTTTCTGTGAGAATTGAATTTATGATGAAGAGGTAGCTTTCCACCCACCACTCTACCAGTAATTTCATTCTTATAAGGCTCGGTTTAAAAACTTTTTTGTGAATATATTAATAAACACAACCACACATTTGAATTGACTGTCCAATTCTCATTTATTATGATTGAGGGCTGGGAGAGAGGAAGGTAGGCAAATGTGTTTAAACACACTTCTGTCACACTAACTTTGACCCTGGTATAAATGTAAACCTAGAAATTTTACTGTTACAATATTTATGAGTTCATTGCTTAATAAAATGATAAAAACACATTGTTTAAAAGCTAATTAATTACTTTTAGAGTTATGAACCGGACGTTTCGGTCCAACTCCATTACAAAGTCGGCCGAAAAGTAAAACTTTCACTCATCTCCTCCTCTGTGGGTCTATTTGAGTGTTTCGTACAGTTTTTAAATGCGAATTTTTTTTCCCCTGCCTTCAATGCAGCACTGTACTTTCCATTAATCCTCAGACTGCAAGTAGTCTCATGATCTTGAAGATTTGTTAATGGCTGCTTTAAAATTGCAGGTGAAGCACCCTCTTCTGCGGTCACTGTTGAGATGACTGGAGAATTTTCACTTTATGCACGCGGAGGAATCGGCCTTCGTTTGCATGTTATAATAAACTTTAACAACCGCGTATCCACCTAAAACAAAGGTTACCAAAAAGGAGAAAAATCAATGATCCGTTTTACTGAGTAATGACATTTTATACTCACAGAAAATGTGTATTCTGAACTTCAGCCTGTGTGGATTGTATTGTGGGAAAGGTTCTGTATAGAAACAGTGTTTTTTTTTAAGAAGAACTTTTTAATTGAAGTCATACTGTAATTAACAGTTAATGCTTCTAACTTACTATAGGGATTTATATTTTTTTTCTCGAAACCCTGCCGTTCTAATTTCAGGGTATACTATATCCATGTCACATTTGCTAACTCGGAATTTTCAAGTTGCCATATCAATGGAGCAGCTAATGCCTTCTCTTGCCATGTTATTATTCTTCTTTCAACAAACCGGCCGTATCCCACCAAAGAAGGGTTGCCCAAAAAGAAAAATGAAAGTTTCTCTTTTCTAACTTGAGTAATGTATGTTGTTATTACTCACAGAAAATGTGCTATTCTGAAATTCAGAACTACAGTCTATTGTATAGTGGAAGGTATTTTATAGAAACACAGTAATTGAAAGAAGAACTTTTTTAATTGATGACAATATTATAAAAACATACACAAGGCTTCTAAGGTTATATAGGGATTTTTTTTTTTTTTTTTCAGCAAACCGGCCGTATCCTACCATATAGGGATATATTTATGAATAAAACTTGATACATTTTCCTCCTCAGGAAGGTTTGAAGTTCAAGCATAATTTGATCACTTGTCTTGAAAACAAGCCAAGGATGTTAGTATTTTAACACTTAGAAGCTCTGATAATATCATAGATTTTATGCCTTATCACTTAAAGATAGTATTTATTTGTATTTACAGTATATACAGTACAATATTGAACAAGAACTCAAAAATTAAAACTTAATCATAAAATATTATAAATTCCCAATTATTCACTTCTGGCATATTTGCACTGAGAAATATGCAGAGAAGATTAGCCATTACAGCATTAGTACTTAAGGTGAATAGTAATGTGCCAGCTACAACCACACACAGAGTTTGTAAGAGCATGCGGACTTAGGGACACATCATGAACCTGGTGGAAATATTACAAATTCTTTATCACCATTGCCTATATCTGGAATTAAATAAATATATATACGGTGCATGTGTGTGCACGCATGGCACGTGTATGTGTGTGTTAAAAGTGTGTGTGTGTGTGTGTGTGTGTGTGTGTGTGTGTGTGTGTGTGTGTGTGTGTGTGTGTGTGTGTGTGTGTGTGTGTGTGTGTGTGTGCGTGCGTGCATGCATGTGTGTGTGTGTACATGTGGTGCATGTGTGTGTGTGTACATGTGGTACATGTATGTGTGTGTGCATGTGTTTGTGCACATATGTATGTGTGTATTCACCTAATTGTGATTGCAGTGTGTGTGTGTGTGTGTGTAAGTAAAAACTCAGTAACAAAGAAATACACACCAAGCCATTAAAACAGAAAATAAGATTAATGCTACATATTTTGGCCTTATTCTGAGGTTCTTTTTTAACAGACTAAAAAGTCTACAAGAGATGAAGGCTACAAACAAAGGCAGACCACATGACCTAAGTCAGGGGCACAAACAAGTGATTTATGGGCAAGAGTAGGTAGATTATTATTATTATAATCAAAAAGAAGCGCTAAGCCACAAGGACTATACAGCAAGAGTAGGTAGAGCATCAGGTTTTCACTGGTCTTGTAAGATGATGAAACTGGGTGGTAATGCAATCTTAACAGGCTTGAGGATTTTGCACTTAATACAATGGTTACAATTCATAACATGCTGAACTGTATTGTGCATATTTTACCCTTGATGTGCCCAGTGTATATGAAATCCCTTGCAAAGACTAAACAATCAAACCTAAGACAAACTGTTATAAATTTATTCGTGAGAGTAACAGAACGTAAGATATGCACAAGACACTTTTCCAAGCTGTTAAGAACTAACCTTAATATTAACTGGGAAGCTTCTTCAATTATGTATAGAACAAACTGTATGTAAATCACAAAATACTGAGTTGCCAGTGACTGGATCTCGATGTCACTTCAACATTTCACAAGGCCATTGAAAACATGGTACTGTAACTACCATTGCCTTGAAGTCATTTGTTTCCTGCCTTTGACTTGTATTATGTGACCTGTCTTTGTATAAACTTGATCTCTTGTATACTTTTTAGTTTGCTGAACAAGGCCTCAGTGTGACATCGAAGAATAAGTTGTAATATAATCAATATGATTTAAAATGTCATACCCATACTCTATTGCAGTATATTTTTATTTTATTAATGTATTTTTGTTTTAAGAAAGTAAAGTCCTTAACAATTTAAAAAATCAAATGTTAAGAGATTCTTAAATAATATTTAATAATCAAAAATATTTATGAATTCTTTTTTGTAAAACTCAAGACGTGAAGTTCCTGGCAGTCCGCACAACTCTCAGATTACCCATACAGTCACAAACACTACCAGGTATGACTACAGTGCTTTACACAGTGTAAGTATAGCTTGGACAACCTTGGGTTTAGTGGCTGTAGCCAAGTTGTAACTGCCACATCACCAAAATGATCATAATACTTGTACCACCATGGTAACAATGAGTTGTGTATTAGACATTCCTATCTTTATTTGATACAACTACAGACATAATCTAATGGTTCTGGACTCAAAAGTTAAACTTAGGTACTAGAAAAGTGAACGTAATATATTTTCAATTCAAGTTTATGAATAAAAATATTTACTGTCATGAAATCGGTACTAAAATTTAATTAACAGAGTCTGCTGTAGTTACAATGGTGGTTTTGTGATGAGATATGTCTGACTGCTGACAACAATAATTTTTCTTACCAATAATTCATTTAAGCAAGGCTGACTACAGCTTAGATTTTCTTATCAGTATGTATTATTACAATGTTTTAGATTCAGAATTTATTAAAGGGTCATATTAAAGAGCTAGAACAGGATACAAGGTAGTTAGCAGTCAGCCAATCTATATTACGTAGAAAACAGGTAGTGCAACAAACCCAAGAAATAGGCCCTAAAGAACTTTTAAAAACATTTCATATAGTAAAATGCATATGAAATGTGTAATTTTTTATATGTAATTATGTATCGGTGAGTTTAATTATTTACTGTGACTGTTGCAGCAAGGAGGACACTAGAGGCAAAGGAGATATCATGTCCAAGGGTGTCCAAGGGTGTGGTGTAAATCTTATACAGAGAATTTGTAGCTTGGAGATTAGAAGGTGTGGGATTACTAAGAGTATTATCCAGAGGTCTGAGGAGGGTTTGTTGAGATGGTTTGGTTATTCTGAGAGGATGGCACAAAATAGGATGACTTGGAGAGTTTTCAAATTGGTAGCAGAGGGAAGGTGGGGTAGAGAGCACCCTAGGAAAGGTTGGAGGGAGCAGGTAAAGTATGTTTTGTGTGCGAAGGGCTTTAACATCCAGCAGGGTGTGTGTGAGCATGTTAGATAGTTGTGGAGGTAGATGGTTTTTGGGACTTGATGAGCTGCTGGAGTGTGAGCAAGGTAAGATTTGTGAAGAGATTCAGGGAAACTGATAAGCCAGACTGAATCCTAGAGGTGAGAAGTACAGCATCTCTAAGAATGGGTGGAGATATATATAGTTTGAAAAGGCATCTAAACTGTAGCATCAGTGCGCCTCTGACAAGACAGTGACAGTGTGAATGATGATGAAAGTGTTTCTTCTTTTTTGGGTCACCCTGCCTGTGGGAAACAGCCAGTGTTATAACAAAATTTCTGCATATTTGTAGTTAAAGGAACTGACCTTATGCTTGTGGAAGCTGTCTTCTGTTATAAATTAAGTGTAAATTTTTTAAATTTCAATGGTTTTGGCATATACTATTATCTTATTTCATCTGCCTACCACTCCTTTTGAGAATATTTTTCAGTATTCCTTCATTATTATTATAATCAAAAAGAAGCGCTAAGCCACAAGGGCTAGACAGCGCTGCAGGGCAGGAAGGAAACGAGGGCATCAGGTGACAAAAGGGAGATGGATGAGTAATAGGTTACGGATAACAGCGGGGCAGTGGATGGTGAAAGGGTAAAGGGCAGCAAGAGACTGAACTAGAAAGGGCTGAGGGGAGTGCGAAAAGTATCATCAGAGTTTGTGGAGTAAATCAGTCGTTGTCAAGAAGTCAATGAGAGAGTCAGGATTAAAGGAGGGTCCATCAGCAAGAAGGGAAGGTAAAGAGAGAGTAGTAGAACGAAGACGACGTTGGAGGTAAATTCTGCGTGCTCGTTGATAGAGAGGGCAGTCTAACAGAATGTGGCTAATCGATACTGGAACTTGACACTGCTCACAGAGAGGAACAGGGTGCCTCTCCATGAGATACCCATGAGTAAGATGAGTGTGGCCAATGCGAAGGCGGGAGAGAGTGGTCTCCCAACCTCGGCACTGATGACAAGAAGACGGCCAGTAACCTATGCTCGGTTTAATAGAATGAAGTTTGTTACCGAGCAGAGTTGACCAAAATGTCTCCTTGTGGCAAACATCAGACTCAATATAAATAGTTATCTTCTCTTACTGCAGTACTTAATTAGTATGTAAATATAAAACTCATTAACATAGTATTAGGATATTTAGTTGGCCTCAACCCCTGCAACCTCAACTAGGTGAGTACAGTGTTTCTCAGCCACTACCTGCTGAAACACAAGTTTTAAGGTTTAGCATTGCTCACAGGAGGCCACAGATCACTGCTTTAGAAACTCTGATCATCATGTTATTTTAAGGTATAGCACTTCACAAGAAAGCTGTAGACCACTGTTTAGAAAGTCTGGTTATTTTAAGGTTCAACACTGCTCACAGAGGAGCTGCAGATCACTGTTTTAGAAACTAGTATGATATACAGTATATTTTTTAATTAAAGTCCTCTTATTAATTTGATTTTTACCTTTTCTTTTCCCCCCTCAAAAGAAATATATTATGCCACAGGGATTCTTGATCCAAAGAATTGGCCCTAGCCTTCCTTTTTTTAGACTGAACCTGAATGCCTCCCATTCCCCTCCCTCCCCCACGTCACCATATGACACTACTGGTTTAGCACTTTCCCCCAATTTACACTTTTTTTTTTCTTTTCTTTTTTTTTTCCAACAAACCGGCCATATCCCACCAAGGTAGGGTGGCCCAAAAAGAAAAACGAAAGTTTCTCTTTCTAAATTTAGTAATTTACACAGGAGAAGAGGTTACTAGCCCCTTGCTCCTGACATTTTAGTCGCTTACGGAGGAAGAATTCTGTTCCACTTCCCCATGGAGATAAGAGGAAATAAACAAGAACAAGAACTAGAAAGAAAACAGAAGAAAACCCAGAGGGGTGTGTATATATATGCTTGTACATGTATGTGTAGTGTGACCTAAGTGTAAGTAGAAGCAGCAAGACATACCTGAAATCTTGCATGTTTATGAGACAGAAAAAAGGACACTAGCAATCCTACCATCATGTAAAACAATTACAGGCTTTCGTTTTACACTCACTTGGCAGGACGGTAGTACCTCCCTGGGTGGTTGCTGTCTACCAACCTACTACCTATAAGTAAATCTTTTATCAGTTTTAATAAGATCTTTAATTCTTGTATTAATTCAGTTTATCAAGTTGTTCTCTATTCCGTGTACAGTTTTAAATGATGGGTTATATGTATGTTTGCACACACGTGCACACATTATCTATTCATAGTATTGTTTATTGATGTGTATTATCAAGGTCATTTAGGTATCTATTTCTTGGGCTTGTAACACTTATAAAATATACTTACTATCTTGTGTATTTTCCTTGGAAAATACAAAGATTATATTCAAATTTGTTTTATATGAGGTTCAACATAACTAGTGGGATGATACTTAGTGACTTTGTTAACATAGGAATAGTTCTATGGTCTTACTGGACGGTGAGAGGGAAAGCCAGTGTCACTGACGTGCAAGGTCATCATAGAACAGGCAAGTATCCAGGAGTCATAAAGGCCCCACTTCAAGATTGGTTATTTATTCCCTTTCCCAAGGAAAGCAGTTAACTAAATTATACAGCTAAATGAAGCTGTATTATATATAAATTTTAGTGTGGTAAGGTTTTGGTGCAAAATTAAAAATTAGCATATTCAAAAACTGTATAACTATAGTTAACCGTTATCCTTGGGAAGAGTGAATCTTTAGGTGAACCATCATCATTGTTTACTACAATATATTATATTATTAGTAATCAGAGTAGCTGGGGTAGTCACACTGCCCTCCATGAACACAAAATTCACTCGGCCAATTTAATGTAAAGGTCAGCTGAGTTTATTACAGGTTAAACAATGATGATGGGTCATAGCATGTGCTATAATGTCCTTATAGGCTTCCCAGTATTTCCTAAGCCACAAGGCACAACTTCCTGTGTTTGTACCAGAGTGAGGTGTGGCTGTACCAGAATCTTACTGGACATTTTAGTATTTTGACTTTTTTTGTGAAGCAAATACATAGCTCTTTGCCATGTCAGGTATTTTGTCAAGTGAAATATTTCCAATAAACTTGCATGCCACACCCCATTAAGTATCATTTCAATAATATATGGTCCCATTGTTGGTACATGTAAGCCTACAGCAACTAAAACTTCATATAGATTCTGTCTGGTTTTCTGATGAGTCACACACTGGTTTTGGTCATATCACAATCTTGTTTTAGAATTTAAATGTTAAAAAATAGTAATATTTTTAATTTTTAATGCCACGTTGTGTCAGTCAACCACACAGTAACACCTTACTTAATTAAAGTTGCATTCACCTATATTTCCTATTAATTGATATGGTTTTAAATTTCAAGGAAATAGTATATGAAGCATTCTCCTTTAATTTGTAAATCTTAAATTACTAATATTAAATTTACTAATATACATACTGTCTGTTGATCTTAGGATTTGTAAATCTTGACTTTGAAGAGGTGTTCAGTTAACTTCATAATTTATTTTATATTGTTTTGTCATGAATTCAAATGCCTTCAAGAGGTTTCCAAACACACTATTAGCCAACATCAGTGTGAAAACAGCCCTCACTTACATTAAGAGTGATGCATTATAATCCAGTCCTTCCTAGAGTAAGTTTTAAGCCCTATCAACTGTTAAGTTTCTAACCTTTTAGTGTACTTTTATCCCTAACAGTTTAACATACACACTGAGAAATATAACTCTTAGCATACAGTATATCCTACCTACCTAAGAGTCCCATAAAGCTTTTTTTAATCCTACACGAGCTTTGAAACCCATCATTAGCCCTCTAGTATGGGCTTAAACAGATCTGGTGTTTTCATAAGAATGTCTGTGGTATATCTTAAGGTGCTGAGCCATTGTCCCAAACTTCATCCTCAGAGTGGATTTACTCAAGTTGTTCATCATTCTAGCCTATGGTAAGTAATTTTCCCACTGCTATGAAAGGTCTAAGTAGGTGACAGTGACTAGTTTCCCTAAAGTAAGATACTGTATATTACTTTTGTTCACTGCCTCCTTTAATTTCTCATGATTAATTTATAACTTATACAATATCTTAACTCTGTATATGATTGAATTTATTGAAACAAAAGCTAGGATTGGTTACTGTAGTTATAGGAGGATGAAAGGAGGAGGGAGTACAGGAGACATCAGTGTAGCTTTTCTTTTTAACATCCTCATTGTTTCTGTGTACCTGTGTAAGCACATATATCCTGTAAATGACAGTGTTGATGGGAATGCTTGTATGCATGGATTTGTAAGCAAATTTTTACTTAGTATACCTCTGTGTGACCACTTAAGTGTTTACATGTGCTTTCCAGTTTGCATATCTTTGTGCATTAGTGTCCTTGTGTGTGGGTGTTTGCTGGGAGTCATGTGTGAATGCATTTGTATATACACAGAGGTTATACTAGATATACGCTTAAATAACCACATTCACATATAAGCATTTACATACTGCATTTATACAATGGATAATTTTGTGTACACGGCTGCTCATACAGGTACACAGGTATTCATGGGTATTAATACAGGTACACATGACTACTCATCAGATACACAAGGCTAATCATATGGGTACACATGACTGCTCGTCAGGTACACATGACTGCTCATCAGATACACAAGGCTAATCATACAGGTACACATGACTGCTCATCAGGTACACGTGGCTAATCATACAGTTACACGACTGCTCATCAGGTACACATGATTGCTCATCAGGTACACATGACTACTCATCAGGTACATGAGTACTCATACAAGAAACATCCACCTCCATATTCACTTATGTTCATACACATAACAAGGAAGTTAAAAGAAAAAGAGCCCCACTACTCCTTTCAACAACTACCTTAAATTCAACTAGATTCAATAGCTATAAAAAAATACAATTTTGATATGCTAATGATCAGTTTGTTTTAAAGCCAATCGACTGCATGAGGGTTATTAAAACTGTATCACCTATGTGCCACCACTCTTTGTATAAAATGTACACTGAAAGATTTAAATCTCTCAGTGTACTTACCTATACAGTATACTGCAGATATAGCATCAGGAAGACTATAAGCACAGTCTACTGTGAGCTGAGATGATTACACTTTATTTAAATTGGTTTTCTGCATTGTTCTCTGTGCCAGTGAAAGTCTGTTGAAGACATAGGAATGAGAAACTTAAATCAATGCAGCAACTAAAACAATTTAAGCCTTATTTATGTTATAACCATGGTATCAAAGTATATAATATGTTATATCATGGCTATGGTAACTTTCTTTGGTAAGGTTTAATTTACAACTGCTGCTTTATTGTGGTATTTCAAGCCAAAGTTAAGTTGATATGTTACTACATACTTTGTTCATACATGTTATTAGTAAATATCTGTAAGATAAGATCAAACAGAAGTATGCATAATAATGCTTCACCAGAAGTTACAATAACTCATAGCAAAGTACCTTTGCAAAAAATTTTAGTTACAAGACTCCAACAATAAAATGATGTGGTTCTTACAACGCCTGGAAGCAATAAGAGTAGCCTCTTATGTTCTTATGAGGCTACAATAAAATGATATTTGTAAACTAAAAAAGTATGTGTGTGTGTGTGTGTGAATTTGGCATGGATGATGTTACTTTCTTCACAAAACTGTAATATGACCAAAACACAGTTTTGTTATCCTGACCATACAGTAGCAGGGCAAGCAAGTACCTACAAGGGCCGACACATCTTGCAGATGGTGAGTGTTATCACAAAGAGTGCGGGACTAATATCACAGTCCATATGTCACAGCCAGTTAGAAGCAAGGCTAGACTCAAGAAAATTAACTCTAATGTATAATTTATACTTATTATAATTCTGGAGGGACTAGTTTCCATTTCAGTAATTTCTTACCCTAGACTTTACAAATAAACTTGTTAACCTATATTTAGAATATCTTCCTTGTACATTTTTCTGTAAGAGTTTCAGCATTGCTTCTGACACTGTTTGGTATTGTGAAGTCACTTGGTATTGCACAACAACAGAGTAGAGATTTCTATACAGTCTGAATATGTTATCAAATTAAAACCGACTCATTCCACATTAGGATTTCCAAGTATAGTTTGCACAGAAGTACCACAGACTGTTTTGCTTTGCATTAGAGTGTGTTAAAACTGAAGGCCTGTGAACTATCTTAAGCACTATAAAATGCAGCCTTATTAATTTTTATTGTATATATTAATAAGCAGAATTCAGAATTACTGCTAATGTATCCCAGAGAGCACCTCTCAGTGTTTATATCCTGCCCATAATTCAGATATATAAATTAGAATACCATAAAAATTTCTCTTTGTAAGTGAAGTTTGTTGTTCCAAATATATTATTAGCAAGCTTTCAAAAAAGAAGAGTTCATGTATAGATATTCTCTACTCTGTTCTAAACCTACACAAAAGTTAATTAAAGCTTTAAAAACAAGCTATTTGAAAACAGCTAGGAACTCTTCAAGTTTTGGTGCATCTTTGCCTAATGCCATATTGACCAGTGGTCATTCTGCGTCTCAAAGCTGCCCTCGTTCTATCAGAAAATACTCACCCCTAAATACTCTTTTTTTTTTTTTTTAGCCTCTCCCAAGGGACACAAACTCCAAAAAAGGCAAGTACAAAATTAAAATAATCATCGGAATTCTTACAAAAATATGGCACACACTTTTGCTTTGTTTCGAATGCCTTTAGACATCACACCCTTAAAGAGACAATTAACCTTATTGACTACAACCAACTGCCATCTATAAGGCAGTAACGATTGTGGCTCCAGCATCTCCTGGTCACCCTGTATCACAACTTAGTGGAATTACAGTTTCCCACGTAAGCCCTCTTCATCCTTCCCTGAGATATGGGATAATTTCACATAAATGTGACGCAGGAAGGATGGGGAGCCACAGCTAACAATATTTATTTACTGACTTACAAGGACATTTGCCACAGTCCAAGGTAGGACGGAGATCAGTTTTTCGATGTTGACTCAGTTTGGTGGTTATCACATGATAACTTGTGACCATAACAGAAAATCACTTGTAGCCTCCATATATCATAAATTTTCAGTGTTTACAATAAATGTGGGAACTTAGAAGGTATTGCACGATGCTCAAGTAACTACCCTGGTATTTTTAAACTATCAGACATGCTCAAACTTATTTTACGAAAGTTTGAAAATCCAGCTAATGATCGGAAGAAACCCAGCACACTTGATAACTGATACCACACTCCATTAATTTCACCATTCCTTAATATAACATCACAGGAATTGTGTTTATTGCTTTTGAGTGAATAAACTTACAACACTGTTATGTAATTAAAAGCTGCCATTGATATATATTGAGCAAAACATTCTTGTTTCTCGCTATTATAGCAAAGTAACTGGCAGTGGTTGGAATGTAAACCCTGATTGAGGAATACTGAATGATACAACAATTAAAAAATTAATGAAAATATAGATGATGCTTGTAGTAAAAAATGCCTAATTTTCAGTACCTGTATAGTATTGTTCTTTTGCTAATCTGTGGCATCAGTGTTAAACTGACAAATGCACTAATGCTGTCTGATGATATAAAAAATTCTAGGTAGCTGATTATTCCCACTAGTAAACACTTCAGCATTGAGCAGTGGAGGCCAAGGTCATCTATCCTAGAGGGCTACAGTTTGAGGACCAGCTCTGAGAGAATCTGGTTATAATTGTGTTCAACATTGAGTGAGGGAAGGGAAATGGTGCGGTCACCATCACGAAGGTTCACCATCTCCAGCACCTGCAAGACAAGAGGAAAGTCATCTTTGGTCATGTGGACAGTTATTTAACTCTGGGTATTAGGTACTGTATCTTAATGCCCTTATCTGTTACTACATACTGTATATACTTTATGCACACCTGCACTAAACTATGAATAAATGCTCGTCCCTTCTGCCCCCTGCTAACTCAAGTAGGTAATTACACATGATCACTAATAAGGAATCACATAAATTGACACAAGATCAATTTTCTTTTTAACACACCAGTAGTCTCCCAGCAAGGAAATCCTGTGTAAAAGTCAAAGTATGTTCCATTTCTCTTCCCTCCACCCCTTCCCCACACTATATGCACCCTCATGATATACAATCCTTCATGCACTATTATTAACTTTATCTTCTCAGTCCCTCTTAACCAAGCCAACCTTTCAGCCCAAACCCTTTCATCCTAACTCTATTCCTCATCTTTAACCTATTCCCCATCAACCTATCACTCACCCAATCCTCATCCTATTTCCCATACTCCCCCTATCTCCAATCCTGAACCTATCCCCCATCCACACATTATTTCAAATCCTGAACCTATGCCCATCATCCATGATCTTGATATTATCCACTTCCTCACTGTATCCATAATCCTCAACGTATCTGTAAACCCTCTCTAAAACTTGACCAAATAGCTTACAACCTCCCATCATCACGCTAACTAGCTTCGCCTCACTTTTCTAATAACTAGTGAAAAAAAGCAAAATACAATAACTTTTAAAACAAGTTCAATGGAAACATTTCGGTCCTGGGACCTTAGTCATTCCATATTGGTGGAGTGATCATTGTTATCAATTTTCTCTCTTTTTTCCACTATATGTTCGTATTATATATCTTTATATCCCTTCTGATAACTATTAACACAGGTAGATCAAGAAGAGCAAGAGCTAATTAAAACACAAAATAAGGATAGTAACAAGGAATGTTGGCACCCACAATCCGTGAGGAGCTGACCTGGGGTCCCTGACGGATTCCAAGGGGCGTGGAGGAACCGGAGGAGGCTGGTGTCTTGTCTGGTAGGAGAGGTAGGATAGACTCTGTCACAGTGCTTACCAAGCAAGGATCCTCATCACGCAGCACTCGTGGTAACACTGTTGATGGTGGTTTCCGCGGTCTGTCGACACAGTAATGGGTGGAACATTAAAATGGTATAAAATACCGGAGGAAAGACATTGTTTCATACTATGGAACAATGCTCTTCACGAGACTGAGGGACTGACCACCTCAAAACTTTAAGGGTGATGGACTGATTACATCGTCTTCAAGTATCTTCTGCTTCTATCAACTTTTCTGTACTCGACTGAAGAAGCCTACTGTGTAGGCGAAACGTTTCGAAATAAAGATACCTAACTGTTGCATATGTGTCTTACCTAACAACAGTAATGGGTGTAAGACATCAGTGGACGGTCGTGGGAGGAAAGACAACAGTGGACTGTCATGGGAGGAAAGACAACAGTGGACTGTCATGGGAGGAAAGACAACAGTGGACTGTCATGGGAGGAAACACATCAGTGGACTGTCATGGGAGGAAAGACAACAGTGGACTGTCATGGGAGGAAAGACAACAGTGGACTGTCATGGGAGGAAAGACAACAGTGGACTGTCATGGGAGGAAAGACAACAGTGGACTGTCATGGGAGGAAAGACAACAGTGGACTGTCATGGGAGGAAAGACAACAGTGGACTGTCATGGGAGGAAAGACAACAGTGGACTGTCATGGGAGGAAAGACAACAGTGGACTGTCATGGGAGGAAAGACAACAGTGGACTGTCATGGGAGGAAAGACATCAGTGGACTGTCATGGGAGGAAAGACAACAGTGGACTGTCATGGGAGGAAAGACAACAGTGGACTGTCATGGGAGGAAAGACAACAGTGGACTGTCATGGGAGGAAAGACAACAGTGGACTGTCATGGGAGGAAAGACAACAGTGGACTGTCATGGGAGGAAAGACAACAGTGGACTGTCATGGGAGGAAAGACAACAGTGGACTGTCATGGGAGGAAAGACAACAGTGGACTGTCATGGGAGGAAAGACATCAGTGGACTGTCATGGGAGGAAAGACAACAGTGGACTGTCATGGGGAAAGACAACAGTGGACTGTCATGGGAGGAAAGACAACAGTGGACTGTCATGGGAGGAAAGACAACATTGGATTGTCATGGGAGGAAAGACAACAGTGGACTGTCATGGGAGGAAAGACAACAGTGGACTGTCATGGGAGGAAAGACAACAGTGGACTGTCATGGGAGGAAAGACAACATTGGATTGTCATGGGAGGAAAGACAACAGTGGACTGTCATGGGAGGAAAGACAACAGTGGACTGTCATGGGAGGAAAGACAACAGTGGACTGTCATGGGAGGAAAGACAACAGTGGATTGTCATGGGAGGAAAGACAACAGTGGACTGTCATGGGAGGAAAGACAACAGTGGATTGTCATGGGAGGAAAGACAACAGTGGACTGTCATGGGAGGAAAGACAACAGTGGATTGTCATGGGAGGAAAGACAACAGTGGACTGTCATGGGAGGAAAGACAACAGTGGACTGTCATGGGAGGAAAGACAACATTGGATTGTCATGGGAGGAAAGACAACATTGGATTGTCATGGGAGGAAAGACAGTGGACTGTCATGGGAGGAAAGACAACAGTGGATTGTCATGGGAGGAAAGACAACATTGGATTGTCATGGGAGGAAAGACAACATTGGATTGTCATGGGAGGAAAGACAACAGTGGATTGTCATGGGAGGAAAGACAACATTGGATTGTCATGGGAGGAAAGACAACATTGGATTGTCATGGGAGGAAAGACAACAGTGGATTGTCATGGGAGGAAAGACAACATTGGATTGTCATGGGAGGAAAGACAACATTGGATTGTCATGGGAGGAAAGACAGTGGACTGTCATGGAGGAAAGACAACATTGGATTGTCATGGGAGGAAAGACAGTGGACTGTCATGGGAGGAAAGACAACATTGGATTGTCATGGGAGGAAAGACAGTGGACTGTCATGGAGGAAAGACAACATTGGATTGTCATGGGAGGAAAGACAGTGGACTGTCATGGGAGGAAAGACAACATTGGATTGTCATGGGAGGAAAGACAGTGGACTGTCATGGGAGGAAAGACAACAGTGGATTGTCATGGGAGGAAAGACAACATTGGATTGTCATGGGAGGAAAGACAGTGGACTGTCATGGGAGGAAAGACAACATTGGATTGTCATGGGAGGAAAGACAGTGGACTGTCATGGGAGGAAAGACAACATTGGATTGTCATGGGAGGAAAGACAACATTGGATTGTCATGGGAGGAAAGACAACATTGGATTGTCATGGGAGGAAAGACAGTGGACTGTCATGGGAGGAAAGACAGTGGACTGTCATGGGAGGAAAGACAACAGTGGACTGTCATGGGAGGAAAGACAACATTGGATTGTCATGGGAGGAAAGACAGTGGACTGTCATGGGAGTAAAGACAACAGTGGACTGTCATGGGAGGAAAGACAACAGTGGACTGTCATGGGAGGAAAGACAACAGTGGACTGTCATGGGAGGAGAGACAACAGTGGACTGTCATGGGAGGTAAGACAACAGTGGACTGTCATGGGAGGTAAGACAACAGTGGACTGTCATGGGAGGAAAGACAACAGTGGACTGTCATGGGAGGAAAGACAACAGTGGACTGTCATGGGAGGAAAGACAACATTGGATTGTCATGGGAGGAAAGACAACAGTGGACTGTCATGGGAGGAAAGACAACAGTGGACTGTCATGGGAGGAAAGACAGTGGACTGTCATGGGAGGAAAGACAACAGTGGACTGTCATGGGAGGAAAGACAACAGTGGACTGTCATGGGAGGAAAGACAACAGTGGACTGTCATGGGAGGAAAGACAACAGTGGACTGTCATGGGAGTAAAGACAACAGTGGACTGTCATGGGAGGAAAGACAACAGTGGACTGTCATGGGAGGAAAGACAACATTGGACTGTCATGGGAGGAAAGACAACAGTGGACTGTCATGGGAGTAAAGACAACAGTGGACTGTCATGGGAGGAAAGACAACAGTGGACTGTCATGGGAGGAGAGACAACATTGGACTGTCATGGAGGAAAGACAACAGTGGACTGTCATGGGAGGAAAGACAACAGTGGACTGTCATGGGAGGAAAGACAACATTGGACTGTCATGGGAGGAGAGACAACATTGGACTGTCATGGGAGGAAAGACAACAGTGGACTGTCATGGGAGGAAAGACAACAGTGGACTGTCATGGGAGGAAAGACAACAGTGGACTGTCATGGGAGGAAAGACAACAGTGGACTGTCATGGGAGGAAAGACAACAGTGGACTGTCATGGGAGGAAAGACAACAGTGGACTGTCATGGGAGGAAAGACAACAGTGGACTGTCATGGGAGGAAAGACAACAGTGGACTGTCATGGGAGGAAAGACAACAGTGGACTGTCATGGGAGGAAAGACATCAGTGGACTGTCATGGGAGGAAAGACAACAGTGGACTGTCATGGGAGGAAAGACAACAGTGGACTGTCATGGGAGGAAAGACAACATTGGATTGTCATGGGAGGAAAGACAACAGTGGACTGTCATGGGAGGAAAGACAACATTGGATTGTCATGGGAGGAAAGACAACAGTGGACTGTCATGGGAGGAAAGACAACAGTGGACTGTCATGGGAGGAAAGACAACAGTGGACTGTCATGGGAGGAAAGACAACAGTGGATTGTCATGGGAGGAAAGACAACAGTGGATTGTCATGGGAGGAAAGACAACATTGGATTGTCATGGGAGGAAAGACAGTGGACTGTCATGGGAGGAAAGACAACAGTGGATTGTCATGGGAGGAAAGACAACAGTGGATTGTCATGGGAGGAAAGACAACAGTGGATTGTCATGGGAGGAAAGACAACATTGGATTGTCATGGGAGGAAAGACAGTGGACTGTCATGGGAGGAAAGACAACATTGGATTGTCATGGGAGGAAAGACAGTGGACTGTCATGGGAGGAAAGACAACATTGGATTGTCATGGGAGGAAAGACAACATTGGATTGTCATGGGAGGAAAGACAACATTGGATTGTCATGGGAGGAAAGACAGTGGACTGTCATGGGAGGAAAGACAGTGGACTGTCATGGGAGGAAAGACAACAGTGGACTGTCATGGGAGGAAAGACAACATTGGATTGTCATGGGAGGAAAGACAGTGGACTGTCATGGGAGTAAAGACAACAGTGGACTGTCATGGGAGGAAAGACAACAGTGGACTGTCATGGGAGGAAAGACAACAGTGGACTGTCATGGGAGGAGAGACAACAGTGGACTGTCATGGGAGGTAAGACAACAGTGGACTGTCATGGGAGGTAAGACAACAGTGGACTGTCATGGGAGTAAAGACAACAGTGGACTGTCATGGGAGGAAAGACAACAGTGGACTGTCATGGGAGGAGAGACAACAGTGGACTGTCATGGGAGTAAAGACAACAGTGGACTGTCATGGGAGGAGAGACAACAGTGGACTGTCATGGGAGGAAAGACAACAGTGGACTGTCATGGGAGGAAAGACAACAGTGGACTGTCATGGGAGGAGAGACAACAGTGGACTGTCATGGGAGGAAAGACAGTGGACTGTCATGGGAGGAAAGACAACAGTGGACTGTCATGGGAGGAGAGACAACATTGGACTGTCATGGGAGGAAAGACAGTGGACTGTCATGGGAGGAAAGACAACAGTGGACTGTCATGGGAGGAAAGACAACAGTGGACTGTCATGGGAGGAAAGACAACAGTGGACTGTCATGGGAGTAAAGACAACAGTGGACTGTCATGGGAGTAAAGACAACAGTGGACTGTCATGGGAGTAAAGACAACAGTGGACTGTCATGGGAGTAAAGACAACAGTGGACTGTCATGGGAGGAAAGACAACAGTGGACTGTCATGGGAGGAAAGACAACAGTGGACTGTCATGGGAGGAAAGACAACATTGGACTGTCATGGGAGGAAAGACAACAGTGGACTGTCATGGGAGGAAAGACAACAGTGGACTGTCATGGGAGGAGAGACAACAGTGGACTGTCATGGGAGGAA